TATACACCTGGGGAAAGGAAGTTTCTCCTTTTGTTCTCTGTTTCCTTTTCTTATAAATAAGTGAGAAAATCCTTTCTGGCTATCCTCTATATGAAACCACAACTCACCCAAACCTGTTGCTGTTGATTGTGACTCATAGCAAACCCAAGAGAACAGTATACCTGCCTCGTGGGGTTTCCAAGGCTGTAAATCGTTATTGAAGCAGACTGCCACATCTTTTTCCTGTGGAGTGGCTAGTAGCTTTTCAGTTGGCAGCTGAGTACTTACTCTCTGTGCCACCAGGCCTCCTTATTCTCTATACTAAGAAGGAACTATATATACCTTTGACCCAGGTATTGAACTTGGAATTTACTCATGACATCACTTCAGCACTTGACAATTCCCAAATCAATGTATAAGCTTCTATAACTGTGTAACATGTCAGAAATTAGTTTTGCTCAATGTACTCTCCCATTGCAATACCTGGAAGATGTGTAAGACTCTTAAGATTATAAGCACACCATGGTCTTTTCTATAAGGAAAAACAAGTCCATTAGCACCTTAAACTTTTTCCATGTTTCAAAATAGGACATAGACCAGAGCTTGATTAAAGAAGCTCCCAATGGCCAAAGATGGAATAATCTGAGCAGCAAAATAAGCAACATTATTATTAGATTAGCCTAAGGCACTTGACTGCTAACCAGAAGGCTGGTGGTTCAAACCCACCAGCCACTCCTCGGAAGGAAGGTTGGGCAATCTACTTCTGTAGTGATACCGCCAAGGAGGGGTTGCTATGAGTCGGGTCTAACTTGACGGCACAGAACAACAAGAACATCAATAACCCCTAAGAAGGAGAAATGGAAATGGGGAACCCAGAGAGGGAAGATGCAGGAAGAGCGCCTTATATTGAGGGAATTGCAAGTAATGTTATGGAACAAAATTGTATAAATTGTTGCATGGAAAACTGATTTGCTCTGTAAACTGTCACCCAAACCACAATATAAATAAATAAGTATCAAAGAGTTCTTACTGATATAAATAACTGAATAAGTAAATAAATAAGGGCAATAGGACAGTTCTTTCTTACAGAAGAATTCCAATTAATAAGTGTAAAGAAATGAATACAAAATAATCTTTAGAACACAATAACTGCTGCAGGCAACATCCACAGATGAATGCTATAATTAGTATAGGAGAAAGTTTGAAGAGAAACAGGTATTTGCAAAGCCTCAAAGTTATTTCCCTCAACATATTTACTCAGTGGAGAAACCTGGCAGACTTCAACCTAGCCAGGTAATCAAGGTTAACGTCACCAGTAATAAGATACATCAACATCATATAACCACCCCTGATGTGATACACCTAGCAGGACACATCACTTCTGTGTCTTCTTGCCAAAAATACAAAACCTCAATCTAATCATGAGAAAACATCAGGTAATCTCAAACTGAAGGACAGTCTACAAAATAACTACCAGTATTCTTTCAAAAACATCAGGGTCATAAAAGGCAAGGAAAGACTGAGGAACTATCACAGATAGGAGGAGACTACCTAGACGTGAGAATTAAATGCAATGTAGGATCCTGGAACAGAAAAAGGGCATTAACGAAAAGATTGGTGAAATCTGAACAAAGTCTAGTTTACAGTCTATAGTCTGAAAGTCTGTAATAAATAGCCTTTATCAATGCTAATTTCTTGGTTTTGGTATTTGTCCTATAGTTACAACATACACTAGCATTAGGGAAAGCTGGATGAAGAGTGTACAGAAAACTGCTATATTTGCAATTTTTCTGTGAAACTAAAATTACTTCAAAATAGAGTAAAAGACAAATAGGACTTGTGATCTTAACGTAATTGGGACGAGAACCACTCCAGCTTCTAAGTTCATTCCCGTATCAGTAATGCTTTGGTTGCAGAGGGACCTCTGGGAAAGAAGAAAGAGGTGACTAGTGTAGGCAGTTAAAATATAGTTGTGGGTACAAGACACATACCCATAAAATTCTTAGAGTATAAAAGTATGAACAGTAAAACTTCCAGCCAACAGGATGTGAGCAGGAGTGATGTATACAACATCTAAAAGGAAATCAAAAGGAAATTCATTATCAAAAGGAAATTGCTTGCCCATCTGCTCTCTCACTTTGTCCCTTCATACAGATATTTTTGACCATGCGATGGGGACAGCCCCAGCTTGTCTTTAAAATCAATCTCTTTGTGGCTATGGCTCCAACTCAATATGCAACTGTGCTCATTTGTTTTATTCAGATTTTAGGGAATGCTTTATGTTTTGGTTACCTAGTGCCACTCTGACAGGAATATACCACAAATGGGATGGCTTTAACAAACAGGAGTTTATTCTTACATTTTGAAGGCTTTAAGTCCCAGTCCAAAGTGACAGGCTCTAAGGGCTAGGTGAATGCCCCTCAACACTGGGCTTCAGCTCTGCCTCCTGCTCTCGGCCCACTGAAGCTGGAGGCTTTTCTTCACTCAGCTGCTGGCTGCTGAGGCTGACAAACCCAAGGTCAACAAATAACAAGGCACAGTCCCGATATTATCAAACCACATGTTGTTGTTGTTGTTATGTGCTGTCGAGTTGGACCCAACTCATAGTGACCCCTCCTTGGTTTCTGAGGCAGCATCACTACGGAAGTAGATTGCCCAACCTTCCTTCCAAGGAGTGGCTGGTGGGTTTGAACCACCAGCCTTCTGGTTAGCAGTCAGGTACCTTAGGCACTACGCTACCAACCCACATGGCAGACCATTAATTCAAGTCCATTGAAAGTCCCAAGGTCGAACTGCTGAATGACGACTCGGCTACAAGCAGGGTCCAAGCGTGCCATAAGCTAGAGACCATTCCCCAAGGCTTCTCCTTATATGCAGGAAGGAGACCACATCCCTAAGGCATCTACTCAGCTGTGCACAATAGATTCCACCATGGAGTTGATTATCAGTCTCATGGTGGGGACTACTACATCCAGCTGCCCAGCCACTCAACTGGGCCCAGCCAAGTTGATACACATACTTAACCATCACACTTTGTAAAATGTTTTAGTTGTTTCCAGCTCAACCTCAGTTCTATGTGATTCCCATGCTCACACTCTTAACCTCTGCTCTTCCCCAGCCTCTGCTCCTCCAGCCTCTTCCGTCCTGGCTAAAGGCTCCCCAGATGCACCCTAGTACACCTCCGTCAGAAATTTAGCAGCCACTCTTTAACTTTCCTTCTCCCTCACCTTATTCTCATCTGCTATTGATTCTACTTCCTAATCTGATCTCAAATCTGTCTTAGCTATTGTCACATCACCACTACTTTCTTTCAAGTTCATGATCAAGTAGTTAGGAAAACTACTATTTTCTGAGGTTGAGCACTTTGGCAAAGTCCACTTTCACAGTCCAGTGGACTCTTGGTAAATAGGAGGCTCTACTTCTCTAAATCTTGAAGATTCTGACAGACTAAGTATCTCTGTGTAGCACAGTTAACATGCTCAGCTGTTAACCGAAAGGTTGGAGGTTTGCACCTACTCACAGGTGACTCAGAACAAAGCTGGTGATCTAATTCTGAAAAACCAGCTATTGAAAACTCTATAGGGCACAGTTCTACTCTGACACACTTGGAGTTACCATGAGTTGGAATCAACTCGATGGCAATTGGTTCTTTTGATTTAGTCTGACTCCACACTCCCTATTCTAGTCATAACATTATAATGCCTTTCATGCAGGTATACATTTCCATGATAATGATGAAAATGATGATGATTAGAATAACAACATCACTGCTCCACCATCTAATGTTTCTTTCTACACACAGGCTTTGAATACCTTATCTCACTTAATTTCCCCAGCTGTCCTATGAAGTAGGTTCTATTATGTTGACTGAGGCAACAGAATGTAGAGGCTGAAAGCTCAGTTTCTTAAGTCAAATTGCTTGCATTTGAATCTATTACCTATAGCTGAATGCTCTTCAATGCATTCCTTTACAACAGTGAGTACCCCATGGGACAGGTATGAGAATTAAACGAGATAGCCTGTGCAAAGCCCCAGCCCACCACCTAGCACAAAGGAAGCACTCATGTTACATTTGCTCTTGTAATCTCACTTACACAGATAAGTAGCTGCACACTGGTATTTCAGTGGTAGAACTCTTGCCTTCCAAACAGGACACCCAACTTAGAGACCTGGCAACGCACCTCATGTGCAGGCACTACCTGTCTGTCACTGGAGGCTTGTCTGCTGCTATCATGCTGAACAGGTCCAGCAGAACTTCCAGACTAAGATGGCCTAGGAGCAAAGACGTGGTGATCTACTCCCAAATGTCAGCCAACGAAAGCCCTATAGACCACAATGGTCCAGTCCACAGATGACTGTGGAAATGGTGTAGCACCAGGCAGCATTTCATGCTCTCTTGCATGGGGTCACCATGAGTCAGCGGCTATATCTGTAGCCGCTAATAATGACAGCATCTCAAGATAGTCCTCAGTTACAGACAGCAAAAAAAGGTTTCAAATGAAGATTAGTTCAAAAATAAACCGAACTTGCTGTACAATCAGCACAATGGCTGTTTCCAAAGGATACAATGCTGGTGTATAACTTTGTATGTTTTTTGAAAAGATATTTGAATCAAATGATTTAACAACAACAAAAACAAACTCACTGCAATCAAGTTGGTTCCCACTCATAGCGACTCCTTTTGCATTTCTGAGGTGGTAAGTCTTTAAGGAAGTAGATTGTTTCATCTTCCTTCTGTGGAGCAGCTGATGGGTCTAAACCACTGACCTTCTGGTTAGCAGTCAAATGCCTTAGGCACTCTGCCACCAGAGCTCCTTAAATGATTTAAGGGACCCCTAAATTACGTCCGAGGGAATTTACGGTTCTTCAGAACTAGCTTGAAAATTGCCATTAAGATTGTTGTACTTCTAAACTCTGAGCTTCTAACTCTCACCAGCCTATATCTTATCCCCCAATTTCCTCTCCTAGCAGCCAACAAATCCCTTTTTTGAATGCTCAGTACAGACTTCTGTGCCTCTTACCTGTGCTTCAGACGAAGTTTAACTCCTCCCGACCATGTAGCTTTCCTGTGCTGGGGGTCAGAGGTGAGGTGTTCAGGGCTGAAGGAGTTAGAGGTGGTAGTATCTGCATGGCCTTCGTCTGCACATGTGTCTCTGACATAAACAGGAAAACAAGAAGGTGAGTATGATGGTGTTCATGGGCATGTGCATAAATGAATGCAACAATGAAGAGACATGAACTATTAATGAAGGTTAAAAACAAGCAACCAACCAGTTGCCATCAATTCTGACTTATGGTGCCTTCAATATGTGTCAAATAGACCTATGCTCCACAGAGTTTTCAGTGGCTGATTTTTCAGAAGTAGACCACCAGGCCTTTCTTCCAAGGCATCTGAGTGGATTCAAACCCCCAACCTTTTAGTTGGAAGCTGAATGCATTAACCGTGCATACCACCCAGGGATTCCCATTATGAAGGTAAACTCCCCTATAATTCAGCATGTCTGTAACTATGTGAAAAACTGAACTCACTGATGCAAACTATCCAACAAGATAGTCACCTTGAAATCAAGTCACTGCTGCTTCACTTCCCAACATCCGGTCCCTGCCCCAATTCTTCTTTAAGGAGAGTGATCTCCAAGTGTGACCAGCCCTTGCTCTATGCAGTGGGTGGCAGCTCAGAAGCATATGCCAACTTGTGAGCTTGAGCTATTTCGGATTGTTTAGATTCCACTGCACTGGGAGGCAAGGCTTTTCTGTGTCCATTTAAATCCACCTCCCACCCCAGTCTCTAGCACCATTCCTGTCAGTCTTCTACTCCATATTCCTGGGGGATCAGAGTAAAATTTTAAACCCTGCATCACCAATGCGTTCTGCCATGGAAACAGATGTTATTTCTTCTCCTTAGGAGAGTGTAGGGTCCTGAATTTGCAAACACTCTGACTGTACCTTTGACTCCTTCTCTTTGTCAGACTATTCTCTGCATTAGGCTTTGAAGAGGGTTTTGTCATCATTCTACTTTGTGGGTACCCATGGAGCATTTTCAATTTCTGACTTGGATGATCTTTCTAAGCCTCTGAGAGCCCCCACGCATCTCCTACAGACAGGAATCTGGAGAAGGTACAAATGAGTCCAGTTCCTCCTCAGCATAGGCCTTGGCTAGGAGGGGACAGGATTACTGAACAGTGTTAAGAGTAAGCCCTGTCCATCTGGCTTTATATTCCCTGGAACACAGAATGGAAATACAAGAGCCTTCCTTGTTTAATCCTGAGGAAAATATAAAACACGTGTCCCCCCACCAATTGTGATTTGGATGAAAACTTACAGAGCACATTCATTTTCCGTACAACAGTTCATACACATTTTGTTTCATGACATTGATTGCAATCCCTACAATGTAACAACTCTCTTCCCACTTTTTTTCTCCCTGTGGTTACCTTTTCCCTGTGTCCTATGCATTCCTGCCCTCTGAACTGTCTCCCTGTACAAATACTGCCCTCTGGTCTCCTATGGTTGATTGTCTAAGGAGTGTACCTACTTGGTATAAATGTTCACCTTATACTCCTGGCTACTGTTTGGCTGGAAGCGATAGAAGTGAGTCCAATTCCAGAACCGAAGGGTGACTAGGGGCCATGGTCTCAGGGGTTTTGCCAATCTCCATCAGATCAGTAAGCCTTTTTTTTTTTTTTTAAATAAAACATGTGCTTTTATTTTGGGAGGTAAGGAGAAGATGACCAGGGAGTCTGCAGGCAGTGTCCACTGCTAAGAATAGTCTCCATCTTTATTTAGTTATATTCTGAGCATTACCATCTCCTTCTGTACATTCCTTTTTTCACCATGTTTAGCATTCCTGGGTTTGAATACATTCAATATATTTCTAGACTTGAAGTATGAAGACTTGGGTTGAAGTTCTGTTCCTTCTGCCCTTATCAGCTGAAATGAAGTAAAAATAAGAAGCAATTCACACGTGGTAGGAGCACGGCTCTGGAGCGAGCCTCCAACTTTGATTACCAGCTCTACCCACTAACCAGCTCTGGGACTTTTGTTCTTTCTGTGCCTCGGCTCTCTCATCTGTGTAATGGGTATAAAAGAACAACCTCCTTCACAGGGTTGTCGATCAATTTAAATAAATTCAAGGAAAATACTTAGAATACAGCCTGGCACATATTAAGCACTCAATAAATTAGTCATTATCAATACATTTATCTTACAGAGTTGCTCCAAAGATTCTCACAAAAAAAAAAAAAAAAAACTCACTGCTGTCCAGTCGATTTGACTCATAGCGACCCTTCCTGGGGTTTCCAAGGTGGTATCTCTACAGAAGTAGATTGCCCCATCTTCCTTCTGAGGAGTGGCTGGTGGGTTTGAACCACCAGCCTTCTGGTTAGTAGTCAAATGCCTTAGGCACTATGCCACCAGAGCTCCCTCAAAGATTCTAGATAATGTATGTTAACTGCTTGTCAGCTGCCATCGTGTTTGCTCCTGACTCATAGCAACCCCATGTACAACAGAATGAAATGCTGCTTGATACTGAACCATCCCCACAGTCAGTTGTGGCTCAGGCTGTCGTGATCCACAGGGTTTTCACTGGCTAATTCTTGAAAGTATATCACCAGGCCTTTCTTCTTAGTCTGTTTGGTCTCAAAGCTCTGCTGAAACCTGTTCAGCACAAAGCAACAAGCGAGCCTCCACTGACAGATGGGTGATGGGTACACATGAGGTCACTGGCCAGGAATCGAACACAGGATTCCCACATGGAAAGACAGAACTCTACCACTGAACCACCAATGCCCCACACACTGCCTACACTTAGTATGTGCAAAATAAACTAGTTATTTTCATCATTGCTTTATTATGTTATCATTTTAGAGATCCTTTCAGCTGTTACCCTTCGGAGGTACCAATTCTCAGTGGCCATCTGGCTTAACATGAGATGAAAAGCAGATTTAAAGGCATCTCACATCAAATACTCGAGTGTAAATCAAACAGCACATCCCAAGACCAGTGCACTGGGAAAGCAAGAGGAGGGGCTTTTCCTTTCCAGAGGAATATTAGGAAACAGTCTGCTCAAGACCCTAATGCTGCCTCCTGGGGGTGAAAAATAAAGAGAGTCTCCAAACTTGCACAAAACCTTTATGGCCTTTAGTAGCTTCCTCATTTTTGCCTAAACCACAATTGTTGACTCTGTCCTTTGTGTACAATAGCTTAGACACTGGAGGCTGGTTCTCTTCTCTTTCTTTTCTCATACTCCTGGCTTGGGAAAAACCAAGGGATGGAAGGTTCAGGGGTGCAGGCTGTCTCAGTGAAGGGCTGGTTGGCGGGAAGAGGAGGCAAGTGGGAAAGGAATGGAAGCGTGAGGAACATAAGGTCTTCTTATCTTTTTAACTATTTCCAGTGCATGATTCCTTTCAGCCCTAGGAAAGCAGAGACCAGCACTCCGGCAGTGCTTCTGTAGTCACATGCTGTCCTGCCATCTGTCTCTTCTAGAAGATCAGCTGAGGTTAGCACAGGGTACAAGGGTTCAAGAGACCTGTGTTGATTGCAACTCCCCGACAAAGTCACAGAGCAGGCTCACTGCTGATCTTCACCTGCTCCCTTGCCCTGCTCTGTCGGAGGCCAGACAGAGGTCCCGGCACCTGCCTGACTGGACTGTCTGGCTGCATGATATAAACTGGGAAAAGGCTGAAAGAACTGCCAGAAGAATAATAAACACCCAGGAAGTACCCTGCTGCCTTAGTCTCTTTCTGGAAAAATCTGGACAACAAATAAACATTTGAAAATTCATATATTCTAATGATAAGAAATTCCATAGTAAACCTAAACACAGAATACCAACAAAAGTACAAACCGCTGACATGGAATCAATTCCAACTCATGGCAAGTGCGTGTGTTACTGAGTACAATTGAGCTCCACAGAGTTTTATTGGCCGTAATCTTTACAGAAACAGATAGACAGGGCTTTCTCCTGGGATGTTGCAGGGTGGGTTTAAGCCGTCAACTTTTTAGGTTACTAATCAAAAGTAAATCGTTTGCTGAATGGTCCTGGAGTAAGTGTAAGTGTTGGGATACTATTCATCCCAGAGACCTGCACCGGAAGGGTGATTTGGCCCTTTTCTCTCCCTGCCAGTTATCTTATCCGTACACTGAACTGGTGCTGCCTCTGGAAGGCACGTCTTTCCACCCACCTCATGTTACTATGCTACCTGCCTCCCAACAGTCTCGAATCCATAGTCTGCAGTGTGCTCTGATTTCAACAGGGAATGAGGAAGCATGTGACTGGGGCCAATTATTCTAAGCCTTCCCTATAAAAGGATACACGTGTTTTTCCATACATTGGGAGTTATTCTCATTCATCATTTCACTATGAAGGAGAGAATTCATTCTCTTTGACCCCATTTCCCAGCAGATAAACTGAAACACAGAGAGGCTGTATACCTTGGCTCAGACTACACCTACGATCATGTTCACATGGGACTAAAATCATTGGCAATCACTCACTCTCATTGTTCTTCCTTTAAGTGTAGCAGTTTCAAAAATGTTTGGTTTATGTCACAAATTCTGTAGGCCTTGGAATTACTGGCAGTTTGTGGGTGGTATGGTACAAATGGTTATCACAGCTGGCTATCGAATGAAAGGTTGGAGGTTTGAGTACATCCAGAGGTACCCTGGAAGAAAGGCTTGATAACCTACTTCTGGAAATTCAGCCACTGAAGACCACGAAGCACAATTCTACTCTGACACACATCTCACTGCCATCGATCGAGTCGGACCCAACTCATAGCAACCCCTCCTTGGGTTTCCAAGGCGGTATCACTAAGTAAGTAGATTGCCCAACCTTCCTTCCGAAGAGTGGCTGGTGGGTTTGAACCGCCAGCCTTCTGATTAACAGTCAGATGCCTTAGGCACTACACAACCAGAGGCATTCTTTAGGCCATTTTATATAGTGTCTTGCTGTTCTCCAGTGTGTATCACTATAAGCAACTAAACAGGAACCAAAGCTGATCTGAGAAGATTTAGCAAGGGCTAAACGAATTACTGTGAACCACAATCCCAGTGTCATCTTTCTTCCCCAGGAAATTAAGAAGTAAGAAATATGTAGGTCAACCACCTACATATTTCCACTTTATGATGAGTACGGGGGCTCTGGTGGTATAGT